GTAGAATACAAGATTGGTAAATATGCCTTTTTAAGAAAAAATATTTTCAACTTGTATTAATTGTATATAATGTTGAAATGTTACTTTTCAGTGATTTTTCTGTTTCACACAACCTAAATTATATGTAAAGCCAATCTTTTAAGGCTAATGAATATAGTTTCGAAAATACGAAAACTATACTTTATACCATTTGTTTTGTTTACAACTATAATTCTTATAAATGTTAATATTTACATACTCACTAATTTAATAAATGAAAATTGGGGTTAAAAATGACACCAAAGCATTGGCATAATTAATACTATTTTCACTAAAAGTGCTCAGGTAGCCGAGGCCCTTACTTTCGGTATCAACCCCTCTTTAACCCATAGAAGTGAATATTTGCTTCACTGCTTCATAATATTCATTTTGCACTAATAGAACTGATTAACTGTTTAAATTATTCTTGTTCTCTAATAGCCCCTCTCTTCCAAATGCTGTTTTTTTTTTTCTTCCAAATTTCCACTTTTTAGTTGTTACTGTTGTTGTATATACTGTAGAATGTTGCTTGTAAGAAAGGCTAATATGGAACCAAACTCCTGTAAGTAATGTAAATAGAAAGATGGGTAGGTAAAGTTTTCCATATGCTCTACTACCTCAGTTTACTTGAATACTACATTATAGTTTATTCTTTACTTATCTTGTTTAAAAAAAATATATATGTATATATATATATATTTTTTGGTTTAAGATATTTTTAATGCTAAAAGTGAAGTCGGTTTCTGCTTTTATGAACTATTTTCATCATAATTAATTGACTAGCTTAAAAAAAGAAAACCACTTGCTTTTTCTGTTACTAAACGCATTATTGTATCATATATTCTTGCTGTTTAATTTTCCATAATTAAGGAATATTTCCATAGTTTGTTTAGACTTTGACCTTGAATTTATATTGTTGGGTCACATTTTGCCTTGCTTTTTATGTACTCAAGAAACCTCCAACTAGACTAAGGAGAAATGTTTGTTTTAATGGAATGTAAACTTGAAACTGGTGTTCCTGCAATCAGTTTGGCCCCTTTGTCGTATCATTTGTTTCCAGTTAGTACCTAAGTCTCCCATGGATGACTTGCTGCCAAAGGGTATTTATGGATATATTTTCTTTGGCCTATTTTTTTTTTTTTTATCCCTTCATTAAATTCTTTTCTCGTTTGGAATTCTATGAATATCTCTTTGGCAGAGTTCAGAAAATAGAAAAATTCGTATGTGGGCCTTTGGACATTACTTTTTCATTATAGCTTGGAATGATATGTAACATTGTGTGTGTGTGTGTGTGTGTGTGTGTTTTTAATCACCTAGTTATTCATAGTTTTATCTATTTGAAATTTTCAATTACCATTTAGGAAATCAGTCTTTGATAAGTGGATAGCTCATGTACTAGGCTTGGCTTGGAAGGAAAAGGCCCATGGTTTCTTATAAAATCATTAATCCTTATAGGATTCCTGAGTTTTATAATCCCCAGACCTTCTTAATTTCTTCTACTTTGTCCTAGTCATTCTTTCCTTATACAAAGCCCAAGAAATGAGCTGCTGCTGCTTTTAAGTGTGGTCATTTTGATGAATGTGAAAGTTTTTGCCTCCTGAAATAATATTTTTCAGCTACTTATGGTACAAACAGATGTGTTACATATTTAAAGAAACCTGTTTGTTAAAACAGGAAATGAAAAAGGGATCTTTTACATTATAGATTTAAAACTAATTTTTCCTTATAATGTAAACTAATTGGTTTGATTTTACATATTTGTGGCTTTTATTAATATGTCTTAATTTGAGTTGGAAAGTGCAATAAATGTACTAGCAGATTTCATTTTGTTGCAATTGGCATACACTGGGGATGATCACTTAAAAAAGATTTTACACAATGCCTCCTTCTGGTAGATGTCTTATGAGAATGTTCTGCTTTCTCTAAGTTATTTAGATAGTAGGATATATAAAATGTACATACTTGTTCCTTGTTCTGTACACATTTCTCAAATGTTCACCTGTATTATAATGAACCTCCCAGTTCTAGGGGAAATTTGTGCAATAAAATATACATTCAATTTGATGAGGCTGTCTTTTCATGTGTTAATAAGTCATGCTACTAACATCATGGACTTGTCAGACCACTTTGGTTCTTTGCCCAACTGTTGTACTTCTTAGGCATGTGACCATTCATATTATGCTTCTTTATCCCTAAATTGCTGTATTGATAATTTGGTAGAATCTATTTCATGAAGTAAATACCAGCTTGACTTTTGTGAACATTATTATCCTGTTTTTTCTTTATAGTTTATTTTCCTTATATGCAGCCCTAAGTGAAATACTGTAATTTGGCTTGTGTTTGAACTCTGTGAGATTTTATGCCGTATTTTATGCTTTGCTTTTTTTTTTCTTAACATTGAGTTGGAGATTCATCTCTGTGCTATATATAGCTGGCATTCTACTGAATGATTATACCAGTTTACCCATTGTATCATTGATGAACATTTGAGTTATTTCAGCTTCTGTATGAAGCTGAATGAATATCTTTTTTTAACCTTTTGGTGTATATGGGTATTCGTTGGGATATTTATATTGAGGAGTGGACTTACTGTCATAGGTTATGTTCAGCTTCAGCTTTACCAGAGACCATTTCCCCCCCTCAAAAGTGGTTTCTCAATTTAACTTACTCAACAACTTGTGAGAGTTCCTGTTGCTTCACATCTTTGCAAATAGATGTGTGCCTGAAGAGTTGTTTGTGAAAAATATGTTGGCATAAAAAAAAAAAAAAGCCCATCCAGTAGTTATTTAAACTCAAATTTCTATGTCAGAAAAAATCACTTTCCAGAGGTAAATAGAAATAATAGTGTGCGCTTGATTTGTGCAGGCAGCATCCTAAATTCTTCACAGGAATTATGTAATCTTACAGAATTCTAAATAGTCTTTTTCTCATTTTATATACACAAAGATACTGAAGTTCTGGGATATTAAGTTCACAAAGTCATCAAACTAGAAGTTGTCTATTAAACACAAATTAAGGTTTTTAACCTGAAGTCCAGGCTCATGTTGCTTAATGCTTTTATTCCCTCTTTTCCTATTCCAGAATAAGTGGTCAGGCTCTGAACAATGATTCTTAAGAATGGACAAGATCACAAATGATCTAAAGCCATTGACAGGATGTTTTCACAGAAAATGAAATTTTTAGGTCATTTATATTCTTGATTTCTAACCCATTACTTTCCAGAATGACTGAGCCATTACATTCTTGGTAAAGGTTTTGCCCTATAGGCAATAAAGAAATGTGTTAATATAATGTAAACTTCATTTGGGGAAGTCCAAGAACCAAAGCTAACAAAATCCTTATTAATTGCAATCCCAAATTTCCCTTTTTTTTTTTTTTAAAGATTTATTTATTCATTCATACAGAACTGGGGTACAGGCCAGAGATGCAGAGGGTGAGAGGATTCACCAGAAACAGTGGGGTGCAGAACAGGCAGATTGACAAAGTACACTGCTGAGGGGAGCAGCGGGCGGTCAGAAGAGGTCTGCCTCGCCATGTGGTCACCTCTGGGGCAGGCAGGGATCGAACTCATGCGGAAGGGGCTTTAGCTTCTTAGTGCTAAAGCCCGAGGGCCCCCTTTTGTTATTTTAAAGTAAAATTTTAACCATGTCAGTGAAAAATTGTGAACGTCCTACTTGTTAGTGAACTATTAAGATCTAACAATATATACAGACTTTAGGGAGCTTAAAATTCAGTGGAAACGACATATCAAGTAAGAATTGTGTGGTTTAATGTGGCCCACCTGTGCACTAATGAAATGTGAAAAGCATTGTCGTGTAAGGATGGATTCTGGAATTCTGTCAGTGGTCTTAAGGTGTGAATAGCCTCTGCAGCTTTGTTCGGACACACGTTTTTCTTTTCAAAGGACCAGTAAATAAATGGAAATTTTCTTTGGTCACTTGTGAAACATAGCATTACATAAAATATAGTGCAAAAGGTATCAGTTTTTAAGTTTTATAGATGTTGTAGCCACTAGGCTACATAATGTGCCAACTTCACACCTCCATGTAAACGTTTATACTCGCCCACAAAAGCTTGAATCACAACCCTGTCACTCTTGAGCCTCGAAAACAATCTTTAAGTCCCAAGAGCTGAGGGAAGTGCTGGAGAGGCTAGGAGGGTCCCTTTGGCAGTAGTAGTGAAAGTACTGCAGACCTGTCTTCGCCAAACAGCATTATCCACAACCTGGCATCTGCGTATACCAGCAGCCCACGTCTAATCAAGGCCGAGCAGCTTTGTTCCCTCTGCCTTGATGTCAGTGTAGGGCAGGGCTAAGTACTTCTCACAGGTGCCCTTTGACGAGAACTCGGTTTCATTTGAAGAAACACGGTGGAGTGCGCGTGGATTTCCTTGTTCGTCAAATGGCGGCCTCGATTTCCGCAATTGCTCTAGGGGAGGGGCGCCAGAGGGGGCGGTATGCAAGGGACTCCGCCACGCCCTACGCTTCCGTATTTTGGCACTGAAAGCCTAAAACGCCTCTTCAGTTCTGTCCCAGCTTGCTATTTTGGCTCAGCACTCACAGTGCGCTTCCGGCCTCTTACACCGGAAGCAGAAGCATCCCAAACCACAAGTCCTCCGCGAACCTTTGGTCCGCGTCTCGCGACTAGTCTAAATCTCACGGCGGGTTCAGAGGCCTAACTGCACCGCCCCAATTCTTACGTCACAGGAGAGTCGCTTCCTTGGGCGCTCGCTTGCGTGTTCCAGCGGCCGCGCAAGCGCACTCCCTTTCTCTCCGCCCCCGCGCGGGCTTCTTTCTGACCAGTCGCGCGTGGGCTGAGGCCCTGGGCGGGCGTTGTGAAGACTTGTTTGCTTGAGTACGGGCCCCGCGGCGTCCGGAGTTCCCTTTCCCGAGTGTGGGGTGCAGACCCCCTGCCTAGGGTGAATGGGCAGTCGTGTGGCCTGCTGAGGGCAGGCTGGGGAACACCGGGGCCGGGACCGCGGCCATGAACTCACCCGTGGACCCCTGCGCCAGGCAGGCACTGAAGAAGAAGCCGCCCGAGCGCACCCCGGAGGTAAGGCCGGCCGACCCTGCGTTCGTCCCTCTCGCCAGTGGACAGCATCTCCCGGTTGGTCCTAAAGCGACGACTGTCCCCTTACCCATCGTCGCACCTGCTGACAGGGCGTCTGTGCTCCGCGCACCTTGCTCTTGCCCGGGCGGTTCTCGAGGGCTGGGTGACTAACGCCTGTCCTCTTGGCGGCGCCGCCTTCCCTACACACCCTGCCCTCCCGGTGGCTTCCGAGTATTTTTGATAAGAAAGTACCTAACTGTAATTTACTTTTCTCGGAGTAAATTGCGGGGCTTGAAGTGAGGTCGCCGGTGGGGCGATAGACATTGTAAGTAAGTTCACAGCCATGTTTAAAGATACTGAAAGTGCACAGGGGTTTAAAAATAAAAGGGAAGTTTTCAAAATCATTTAAAAATTGCATCCAGTCAGATGTTGACTTGTGTGGTGAATGATGTCTATTTTAATAACGGTTAATTCTGGCGGTACTTTTTCACGTTGTCAGTAGGAAATTTTACAGTATTTTGAGCTTGGATCTGAAACCTATGTTGGGTTACTAGTAACAGCATTGGCTTAAATGCTGTTCACGTGATCTTATGTACAACTTTCAGGTAACTAAAAAAAAAAAAAAAACCTGTTAATCTTAAATATCCCGGCGCTTGTATATTTTTGAAGATTCTCTTGAATGGGGGAGTTTCTATGGTGAGTGGAAAGTTTCTTAAACCAGAAAACAAAGTACAAGAATGAATGATTATTGGATTGTCTTGTGTATAGTTTCGATAAATGAAATGCCTGGTTAATTCTTCCAAGTTGCTTTGGAGAGTTTCAGATTTAGTGTGTTCTGTAGTAGGTCTCAGTAACTTTGAGCTGACTTGTGACTCCATGTTATTTCCAGCTGTATTTGTAGAGATGATAGGTGCAGATTCTTAAATCTTGGCATAAATAAGCCAAAAGCTCCCACTTAACCAGAGTACTCTCTTTGAGGCCTCCTATATAATCCGTGGCTCTTAATTTCCTTGTAGTGATTCCTGAAGTCAGCTGTGAGCTAATTGACACAATTCAGCTTGAACAGGTGAAGTCTGTTTATATCATTAAAAGTATTATGAAAGGCTAAAGATGTATAATGTAGACTTGACTTTTAAATATTAAGATAAACCCCATTTTAAATGGAAAAGCCTACTTCATTGTAATGAAGAGGATTAACTCCATTTTAGTGGAAAATCCGACTTCATTATCATGGTAGTTTGAAAATCAGTGTTCAGCTTCAGGAAACTTTCTAAGCTATTCATAAAATTATGTGGCCAGTGTGTGCTATGTGAAGTGCTTTATCTTGTTTTACTGGAACAGCAGCATTGTTTAAGAGAATGCTGAACAGCTGCCTACAGTGCAAACTACAGTCCTAATATCTAATAGCATAAAGTGTTAACTGCTTGACTCATTGGCAGACCTTTTGAGTGACTGTAGAATTTGAGGTATAAAAGTTGAGTACAGTTGTAATCTGAATCCTAGTTTTGATTATTTGTAATAAGTAACTTGATGAAATTTTCACAAGGTCATTTCAATTTTCAGAAGACCTTTATTCTTTTAGTGAACTCTTCAGGGTTTGTTACTGTTCTGCTGCCAACCCAAGTCACAACCAACCCAGGCTGGCTAAGGTTCATCATTGGTTCAGGCAGCTTGAAAGAAAACCTTAGAGCCCTTGGACTCATCCCCCAGGTTAGGGGAAACATACCAGCAGGGAGACAGCAACTTGGGCGCCCTGCAAATCCCTGTGTACGCTTTTCTCTTTGAGCCCTTTCCTCTGTGGCACTCACCACTGCATGCTGCCCCCACCTTTATAAGTTCCCTCTCTCAGCTCAGGTGTGCGCACACACCATCATACTCCAGGTGCCCACCACCAGGCACACATGTAAAACCACAGGTGTCGATTGTAGATGCTAATGGCAGGAGGGTGGAAAAAATCTGAATAACTTCCATTTACCCTACAGTTACTCAGTTACCTATCCAACAGTTATACTTTATTGTTGAAAGGTTACTAGTTCAGCACACTGTTGATGTGCATTAGGATATATCACTGAACCACAGGCCTGAGCTATGGGAAGTTAAACATGTAAATTACACAGAAGGTTAGATGATAATTGCTAATTAAAATAAAAGCAGGATAAAGGATGGGAAGCAAGAGGCAGGGTTGGGTTGCAGTGTAAGATGGTCAGTGTTGTGCTGGTTGAGATGACTTTTGATTCAAGATTTGAGGCATACTATGGAATTAACCATGGAGATGTATAAGGGAAAGAGGTTTCCAAGGAGGGAATAATCATTGCAAAGACCTCAAAATTGTTGCTGATTCAGACAGGTCTTTGGCATTCAGGGTATGACAATGAACTGAGTAACTGGAGGATGAAAAGGGAGAGAACAGTAAATGGTGTAAATTCCTGGATTTTTATTTTGAGTGAATGAAGGAGTGGGCTGTCAAACTTTAGAAATAGAGGAGTGATAGTCTCCTTTTTTAAAGAATCCCCCCACTGCTTGCTGGGTTAAAGATACACTGAATTGTGTGGGAGCAGGGGTAGCAGAACATGTTAGAAACAGGGACATCAGAGGCTGTCATGCTAAAGCAGGGAAGAGATGACGAGAATTGAGACTAAAGTGATGGTAATGCAAGTGGGGAGAATTAGTCAATTAAGGAAATACTCCACAGGTTTAGCCAATAGAATTTGCTCTTAGATTAGAGGTGTGCTTTAAAGGGGAGAAGAATCAGGCACGATTTCAAGGTTTTTAGCATGAAAAACTAATGTGTTGGAGTTACTGTAAGAGTTTGATCAGCTATCAAAGAAGTGATGGAGTACGCAGCAGCAGGAGGATTAGTGTGGGATGGGGATCCAAAGTTCAATTTGGGTCATTTCACGTTTGAAATGTTTATTAGAAATGTGAGGGTGGTATATGTACAAATTTATATTTCTAGTGAGAAGGTCAGTCTGGAGATAGACATTTGGTAGTTATTTATTTGTAGGTAATACTTAAAGTCGTGAGACTAGATAAAATTACCAAAGTTGTGAGTTTACAGTGAATATAAAGTGAAAGAGCAAAGATAGTGCCCTGGGTCACATGAATGCTACAAGATGAGAGGGGTCTCCCCTGGTAGAGTAAGGGGTTAAAGAGCAGCACTATGAAGCTATCCACAGCCACTGCAACAGGAGTTCCAGGCAAGGGAGTTACCCACATGGCACTGTAGACCTCCCCTGTCTTGCTTGCAGCTCCCACTAAAGCAGCATATTTCCATCAGTCCACTTGTTCTGTTCCCCATTCTGTCTCTGGTGAATCTTCTTACCCCCTTCTCCCCCGCACCTTCGGCCTGTACCCCAGTTCTTCTATGCATTTAAAAAAAAGAAAAAAGAGGGAAGAGCAGAAACCTGCAAAGCAGAATAAATGAGAGCAAATACTACAGTGGAAGAAAAACAAAAGAATGTTGGTGTTCTGGAAGCCAAGCAAAAAACACTTAATAGAAGATAAAATATATTCAGTCAACTTATTTTTCATGACTGGGTGCCAAACATGAAAAAGACATAGGTAGATACGACTTGTTGTCTTATAAGCAGAGGTTTGCATCATATAATTAATGAGTAAAGAACACTTCTGTTTGTTTCTGGGACAAAATTAATGGTTTCTCTGTTTTAAAACATCTGTTGGCCTTACGTCTTAGTGAGCCAGACACTGTGGAAATGTGCTGGTAAAATGTTATTTACAACTATATTCTAACCCAATTTCATTTCATTTCATAGCTCCTGCTTCCATAGTACATTGTCTTTCTGGACTAGTTCTCTGATTTTCTTTTCCACTTGACAAAAAAAAATTTAATGGAAAATTTACTCTTTGTAAACAACAAAAGCTGTTGAGGTACTCATTTTGAATTCTTGCAACAATTAAAAGAAGCCAGTCAAAACTGAGATACTGAGTTTGACTGTTTTTCAACTCATTCTATGTTCAATGCCATTCTTTATCATTTTTTTTTTTACCTGAGTGTTCTTATGGTTTATTACCCTCTCTAAATGCTTAATACATTACTTTACACATTAAGTCATCAGTAAATATGTCAAATAAAATAAAATTTAAGAATAAGTTTGTAAAGTCCTCATGTACAGTCATGCTTCATATACGTGACAGGTATGATCTGAGATGTTTGGCATCCTCATCATTTGTGAGTATTATAGTGTGTAATTATACACCCAGACTCTTAAAGGCACCAACATAGTAATGTGGTTCATTGTTTATCAAAATGTTATTAAACAATGTGTTGACTGTACTAATAGTAATGAATAGAAACTTTCATTAAAATTGCTGATTTTGGGTGTCCTGAGCAGTCTCATTGAGCAGCTTTGTATGAGTTAATTTTTATAGGCTAATATGTAGGACTATTCTGTCTTAGTCCCTTTCATGTGCTTCAGATCCTTATATCTAATAATTAAATTGTCTTCTATGTTCATAGTCCTAATTTGAAGCTGTTATCATTTTTACTCAGTCTATTGGTGATTGCTCCAGTTGCTCAATCCAGAATTTGGTTTTACTCTTTTTTTTTTTACACCTCCCCCGTGAGTATTTGTTAGGCAATGATTCAGGATTCCGGGGTGGGTGGGGATTACATGTATCATATATCCCCTCATCCTGGGAAAAAGTCCCAAAAGACAGAGGAGAGGCTGAACCAGTTCAGATCTTCTTGGAGAATGTGCCTTTTGCCTGGCAGTTGTCCCAGGTTGACACCCAGGTTGTTTTGCCAGCAGTTACTGTTCAGCTCTGATTGGAGGAACTACTATCAAAAGAAGGGCAGCTGGATGGTCTGTTTCTGTGGTGCTGACACATAAGGACCATGTGAGCACCCCACAGCATCTCCAGTTCAGTGTGACCCTAAGCAAGACGTGTGTTGTTACTTTTGGTTCTTCCTGGTATCTTCCTTCATATATACAATTAGCTGCTAAACCTTGTTGATTTTATTTTGTAATCTCTTACATCCTCTG